CTGTCTCTGAAGGAGGTAGTGATAAGACAAAATGTATTTTTGGTGGGGGGGGGGGGTCTTTGGGGCCACTCCCTACAATGCTCAGAGATCGGTGCTCAGGGGACAATGTGTAGTGTTAGGTATTCAAACAAGGATTAGCTTTGTGTAAGGTGAGTGCCTTAACCCCTGTACAATCTCTCCAACCCAAAAAACAACGCATCTTAATTTTTAATGTAATCCACTTATAATTTATAAAATTGATGCTTTTGTTCTTCAGCACCACTTATGGTTCACCAACACTACCAGGAGTGACCCCTGAGCACAGAACCAGGAGTAGCCCCTGAATGCCACTTTAAAAAAAAAAGATGCTATTTTTCTTGTGATTCTGCTTAATCTCCTCATAAACCTATTGTTACTGTATTTTTTTAGTTGTTTGGTTTTCCTTGGACAGGGTAAGAATGGCCGCTTAGAGATTAGGGATGTGGCTCAAGTCGGTCTACTTAGCTCTTATGAGGTTGTGAGTTCCATATGTGGCAATGCTTATGAGCTTGGCTGAAGCACTCCTGATAAAAGGTGTGCTATTTAAAATGGGTATCTGATAATTTCATTAACTGGTTACCTTTTGGATCAGCTGAGGTTGTTTATCTCCTCTGTTTTTGGTTACAGGAATTTGTCTCCTCATGTGCCTGGCTTTCCCCTTTCTTCTAACGTGGTCATTGTTTGAGAAAAGTTATGTAACCATACGCCTAGAAAAAAAAAGAATTCTTCAGGAGAGAATCCATTCTTGCTTCTGACAGATAGCTAGGAGCACTATTGATCTTAAACAACTTAGTTCTTTCTGAAATTGAGATAATCCTTATTTGGTCCCAGCCCAAAGCCTGAGGATTGGCCCTGGACCCATGTCTCTCTAGTCCCATGACTCTGATAAGGATTTGTTCAGCTTTCTATCAGCATCTGATGAAACTGGGAAACCAGTAGCATCCCACATACCAGTTTCAGCTTCAAGGGATTTCCATCTCTTCATTTTCTCCTGGATTGTGGCACATAATTCTTGGTCTTATTTGTTCTCCTATGCTTTCAAACAGATTTAAAATCTTTTGCTTTTATTTTTGGAACACACCCAGCAAATTTCAGCTCTAAGCTCAGGGGAATCAAAGAGGCCCAGGGCCTCTTGCATGCAAAGCCAGTGCTCAGCCCCATTGAGCACTCTCTCTCTCTCTCTCTCTCTCTCTCTCTCTCTCTGCCTTTCCATCTTAAAATATCTTGTTCAGCTTTTCTAACTGTCTTCTAAGAAAACTGGTACAAACTGTCCATTCTGCAGAGCTTTTCTAATAACTTAAGTGGGACATCTTAAAAATTTAAATTACGAAGTTTTGTGATGACTGCTGGGCTGCACACACACACACACACGCTTGGCTATGGTACTCAGTTTCTGTTTGGTTTGTGGGGATTTTGGAGATCCACCCCAGCTCACTGTATGGCAGCACCACAAAGGTGTATACCTCCCAGTGAGCACAACAACTAAATGTGCAGTGACCATGGCCAGGAAGTGTCAGCCAAGAGCGCAGCTTGAAATCACTTACCATGCTGGGCATCTGCTGATAGTCTCTAGTTCTTTCCATGTTGCTGCAAATGGCATGAGTTTATTTTGGAAGCTACGTGATATTTTATGGTGTGTGTATACCACAACTTCTTGATCCATTTATCAAGAGAGTGGAATTTGGAGGGGTAGGGGTGGTTTTTTGGGCCATAACCACCTGTGCTCAGGGCTTACTCCTGGCTCTGCATTCAGAGATCACTACCGGTGGGCTTGGAAAACCATATATGGTACCAGGATTCAAACATGGAATGGCTACATGTACGGCAAGACCCTCTCCACTATATTATCATGCTGGACCAGGAGGGAGAAGGAACTTTTCACTTGGGATGATATGTGCATGGCTAGACATCTGGCCACAATGGTGAGCACTGGAGATGTATTGATGCAAATGTGGGAAGTTAGACTAATGCTGATCGTACACGGCAGTCTGATACCTTCTCAGACATCTCAACTCCATGTGAGAAGATATTGGTGACAAAGGTTTATCCAGTCTTTTTGTTTGGAGCCACACCTGGTTGTTTTCAGGACTTATTCTTGGCTCTATACTTAGGGATCACTCCTGGCAGACATGGCGCACTACAGGACATATTGAGGATCAAACCCAGTTTGGCTGCATACAATGCAAGTATTTCATTGTATGCCCCCAATACTGCCGCCCGACTTATTCAGTTTTAAGTAGGCTCTTTTGCTAAATGGGGGTTAGGAGGGTGGGTGGGGGATTCAGAAACTGGTACCCAATTCTTTACCAAGAGAATTGTTGCTTTGTGTCAACTTCCCTGCTAGAGGCAGAGTGTCCTTTGGTGGCACAGTTCAGAGGTGCAGTTTTCAAATGACTTGTGTGTAAAAAGGTTACCTGTGAATTACAAAGAAGTAGGAGGCATTTCAACCTTTCTCTTGAATTGAAATTTTAACTGAAACATGAGCCATTTATTACCTGCATATATAATACCATGTTTCTTCTAATAAAACCATATAGGTCTGGGTAATTAACGTAGATGGGAGAAAAGGCATTTCAACACAACTACCTTGTTAAATATTACAGTTCAAGGTTGATGCATTCCAGGAACTTCCACTTGACTTTCTGAAGCCTAGTGGGATCTTCCAGCAGTGCTGCCAGAAAGAAAGACAGCAATGATTCACGTAGTACAGAAGGGTACCTGCTACCTTTCACCTGCCACCGCAGGCTGAAGGCAACCTACTTAATGCCCAGTAAAATCTAAACACTAGCTTGAGTCTCTTTTCTTTCTGTTTTGTATTTGGAAGCGGAATTGCCAGATCATTCTGTGAGGGGCCTGAGTGTGTCCTAGCTAAAGAATTCTGGTCTCCATGTTTAGTGTTTTCATATTGGGCAGCTCTCCTGGGTACAGAGCTATGGGCAGTGACTCACTCTCCTACACACACACATAGAGAGAGAGAGAGAGAGAGAGAGAGAGAGAGAGAGAGAGAGAGAGAGAGAGGAGAGAGAGAGAGTCAAAAGGGACATCAGGGGATGGTCCCTTTGTTTCTTTTCATTCATATAACAAAAAAAATCCACTTTTTCCACAAAATCCACACATCAGCATGAAATACACTGTGAGACACGGTTTGATGGGTTTTTACTACATACAGCCCCACATGACTACCAGTAGATGAACGTGAATGGTAATATGTCTCTTGTTCTACTTTCTATCTCCCAGAAAGAATCCCCTGTGTGTCCATGAGGCAATGAGATTCGAACCCTTAACAGATGTCTCTGAGTTTTCTTTTTTAGTTTCTTTAGGAGGAGCCCCACCAAGCAGTGCTCAGGGGGCCTGGGGGCCTTCAGTAATTCTCAGCCAACTAGGGCTTGAGGATGTGGTTCCGCTGGGCCACCCTGCTTCTACTGGGGCTACTAGAGGGGGACAAGGGCTACTAGAGGGGGACAACAGTGGTTGACTGCATGTAAGGCATGTACCTAACCCATGAACTCTCCAGACAGGTCTCTACTTTCATCTGGAGGCTGTAGCTTCAGGAGACACTGTGGAATTCTGCACTCTGCCAGGCTGACTCAGTTGGCCCCAGATCCTACAGTCAGCCTTGACCTGAGCATGCCAATAGTTCTACTTGAATTCACACCCCAACCCCCACCCCCTACCTCCCACCCACAAGTATGCACACTTTTTTTTTCCACCTTCGTGGAATGTGCCTGTCCCGGCATGGTGCACTCTCTGAGGATAAAGCAGCCACATCCCTGTCCTTCTGCCGAGGCAGCTGTTGCTAGAACGCCCACAGGCTTCACCTTCTGAGTCTCAGATGTGGTGGCAGCAGCTGCCTTTCTCACTCCATCCTCCTTTTCTTCTGCTTCTAGAAAACCCTAGCACTGTCCCTTTTCTCTCTGTCATAGGTGTCGCTCACCCTAGCCCCAGTCAGGTTGGGCTGGTGGCACCTTCACTCTAAGTCTCTTGTTCTACTGTTTTATCACTGAAGGTCTTTAGAGCTGCTTGACTTCTTGTGTGTCTGGGAAGTACATCCAATAAGGCAGAATAAGAAGATATGGAGTATTTAGGCCAGAACATTAGGAGGTGAGGTGTGGCGAGTACTTCCCTGAAGCCAGTAACGAGGAATCTGGGGTTGGGGGACACCTCGTGGTGCTCAGAGGTCCCCTTTGACTCTGTCCTCATTGCTCTGTTCTCAGGAGAGGGATTTTCTAAGAAGGAAGTGAACCTTCATGGTCTGTAGTGAAAGAAACAATAAGAAATTAAGACTGAGAAGGCTGGAGAGATAGTACAGCAGGTAGGGCACTGCCTTGCACCACAGTCAACCTGGATTTGATCCCTGGCACCTCATATGGATCCCTGAGCACCACCTGGAGTGATTCCTGAGTGTAGAGCCAGGAGTAACTCCTGAGAATTGCCAGGTGTAGCCCAAAAATGAAAAAAAAATTAAGAGTGAGGTTAAGAAAGGAATGATGATATGTGGGGACAGAAGAAAATCCTGTCTGAAATGTGGCAAAGCAAGACATATCCTGTATTCTCTATTCCTGGGCACCTCTGCCTCCTGGTGGTGGGCGGGGTTGGGCAGCCCTCTGTCTCTGTGGCCCAATGACCCATGGTTCCATGATGTCACTGAAGAAAGAAGAATGGGTCACTGGGCTCAGCTCCAGCTGCTCCAGTCTCTCTCTTCTCTGGATTTTGATCGCTCTGGGGGTGAGGGGAAGTGAGCTGAGTCATCACACATGTCCCAGCTCAGTCTCCCCTCTAGCCACCTAAACCCCACTACATTTATGAAGAGAAATTAGCCAGTGTGAGTTGACTCCACTAAAATGAGCAGAGCATCTTTTATGGATTTATCAGAGGAACAACAATGAAAATGGCCTTTTATTCTTCTGTTTCTAGAAAATTAAGAGAACTGCATTCCACCTGGGCTGGAAAAAATATTCAGATAATCTCTGCTTGTGAGAAAGATGGGCTTTCTAACCAAAACTCTGAGTATTCATACCACTGCAGCCACGTTCTTGGTCATCATTTTTATTTGTGTCATTTGTATCATCCTTTTGACAATGGTTTTTCTACAAAAATGGTATGAATTCACTGATAAATTGGAATCAGACTTCAAGTCACACTAGAAATAGTATCTAGAAGTACTATAAATTTAACTAAGAGCAAATGAATAATAATGCTTTAACTACCTACTTTTTCTATTTCAGGGTTTTAGAAATGCTAATTTTCTGTTTTGAAGTGAAATTCCATGCTAATTCTTAAACTCAAGACCATTTTTTGTGATTTTTTCCCTTGTTTTCAGTTTCCAAGGCAATAAAGTAGAAGAGCAAGAAATAGTTCATCCTTGCAATGATAAATCTTGTTTGGATGAGAAGAATGTTTCAAAAGAGCAAGAAAAGTAAGTCTGTATTATAGAATATACCATAAAGTAGTTTTTGCTTAATGAAATTGGTGGCTACACTGCATAAATTTTTAAAAATCTATAACCAGAGCCATAATACAGTAGACAGGATACTTGCCTGGCACACAGCCAACCCAGTTTGATTCCTGGTACCACATATGGTAGTAGCCACAAACCAAAAATAAGTAAACTATTTACTTTAATTTTTTAATTTTTTTTTTATTTATTGAATCACTGTAAGAACAGCCACAAAGTCCTTCAGTTTAAGTCTCGGTCAGTCATACAATGATCAAACACCCATCCCTTCACCAGTGCACATTTTCCACTACCAAGAACCCCAGTATATCCCCCTCCCCCCACCCCACCTGTGTAGCAGATTTCCACTTTACTCTCTCTCTACGTTGATCACATTCAATATTACGACAAAAGACCCACCATTATTATTTGGAATTTTCCCCAACAATCAGACCTGCCAAAAAAGGCATCATTCGATAATTTGTTTTCTATTGCTGGTTATAAAGACCATATGATGTCACATGGCCACCATCGTGGCCACGCCATTTTGGATTTCTAATATTTTAGTAATAAATCCAGAGGGATTACTGCCAAAAGCCGCTGGATTCTGAGATTGGTTTGTGTACCTCTGGGATCATGGTCATTCAGGAGCCAGAGGAGGCATTCGTGGGCGGCAACTCGGCCTTATAAGGGTGGGGAGCAGGGCCGGTTCCACCCCCATCCCATGAGGCCCCGTGTGCCTCATCACTGCAGTCTCATACCTGGCTGTCCTTTAGGCTCTGAAAGATGGTGTCCACCATGCCACCACTGCCAGAGAGAAAAGGAGGAGGGTTTACTTTAATTTTTTTAAAAAATCCTGTTAATTGATTCCCTAGGACCAGTATTATAAATGTAAAACAAATCATGGACTTGAACATACCCCCACGGCCTGGCATTCTTGTCCAGAGACAGAATAAAGAAGCAGTATCCCCAGCCTCTGAGAACAAACAGAATGTAGAGGAGAAGGAAGAGGATGATACAGGAGAGAAGAAAGGAGATAGTACCAAAAATACTGGAGAGGTGATGGGCAGTTTAAAATTTTGTTTGCTTGAAAAAGAAGGTATAATAGGGTCAGAGAGATAGTACGGCAGGCAAGGCATTTCCATTGCACAAGGTTAACCAAGTTCTATCCTCTGCATCTCATAAGGCCCCTTGAGTTCACCAGGATTGGTCTCTGAGTGCAGAGCAAAGAGTAATCCCTAAGTATCATCAGGGATGGCCCAAAAGCCAAAAAAAAAAAAAAAGGAAAAAGAAAAATGGTCTGTTACTAGCTAGATAGATTAGGGATTGCCTTGTCTATCTGTAGCTTAGTTTGTACCCAGGGGGAACATGATGATGTAAGCAGTCGTTTAAACCATCCTTGTTAGTTTATTGGTTCATAAATGCTAAATTCACACACTTGTTTACTCTTCTCACACTTTTTTCTTAATTTTACTTATTTTTTAAAATTTTAGGATTTTATTGCTGGAGGAGGCTTTGGAAATCATCTAGGGATCTAGTTCTCTGTTAGATGTGTGGAAAGGGGCTAAGTTGTTCAAGGTCATTCGTCCACCATGGACCAGCTCAGGATCAGATCCCATGTCCCTTCTACAGCAGTGTGCAAGTACGGCCAGAGTCACTCTGAGTTTGATGTCTGGGCTCCATAATAAGGACAGCTCATATCCCCTCCTTCCACATGACCCATGTCCAAGAAAGAATGGTGATCAGCTGGCTGAGTGTTTAAGTATTTCGTAGAGAGGATAACATATCCCTAAATCTTATTTGAATATAATATTTTGTGCTTTTATAATCACAGAAGTATAAAAATGAGATTATGATGGATTATGACTATGTTCCTATATTATTTAGAGTATACTTCTTTCTAACAATATGCATATGTATGAATTTGTATATATCTGTACAGATTTCAAGCAGGACTTGTTGCATTCATGAACCAGTTGTTTATAGTATTTATCCCATTCTCTTGTAGGATGGTGGTTCGCAAAGCACAAATTTAGTTACTGACAAAAGGCCTTTGAAAGGAGTGACGTTTTCTAAGGAAGTAATCGTTGTGGATCTTGGGAAGAAAAATCCTGTATCTCGAACCTATTCTCGAGAACACAAAGAGAGAAAATGAAACTCAAATAGTCTGGGGCAAGAAATGTAACCACAGACTAACAATTAAGTGACTGGGGGTACAAAATCATGGTGAAACAGGAAAATAATGGAGAAATTAAGCAAATACAATATTATTTTAGCTTTGGGTTGAAAGAAGTAGGTAAAATTCTGTAACTAAAATATTCAAAGCTTGAATATAGTTTCTCTTTAAAACTCATACCTGAGTTCAAGAAATTCATTATATTAATATCTTTAAAACTACCCAAATACTGTTCTAAGATGTGAATAAAATTGTTTACATTTGTGCAGTGTCTGTTAGGAAACTCATCTGAGGTTGACTCTGGTAATAGCACATTTCTGGATGCTCTGATCACCATGATTATGAAAACTTCCAACAACAAGCACTACAGGCTCCTACTACATAATTCCCAGTACATGATCTTGTGCCGACAATCACTTAAATTCACACATACACAACACAAGCTCCCTCCCCTGCCAAACACCTCCTGAGATGATCTTGATTTCATAGTTTAAAATTTGCTGTTCTGGGGTCAGAACAGTGTAGTACCGTAAGCAGGGCACTTGCTTTGCATGTGGCTGACCTGAATTTGATTCCCCAGAATATCATATGGCCCCCTTTTCATCAACAGGAGTAATTCCTGTGTGCAGAGTTAGGAGTAACCCCTGAGCATGGCTGAATGTAGCCCTAAAAACCATAATAATTTTTTTTTTTAAAAATTGCTGTTCTAGATGACTGGTTAAAGAAACTTTGGTACATCTACAGAATGGAATACCATGCAGCTATCAGGAGAGATGAAGTCATAAAATTTGCTTATAAATGGATGGACATGGGGAGTATCATGCTAAGTGAAATGAGAAAGAGAGGGACAGACATAGAAGGACTGTACTCATTTGTGGAGTATTGAGGACTGTCTTTCCATTGTTCATCGACTTGCTCGAGCGGGCCCAGTAATGTCTCCATTGTGAGACTTCTATTACTGTGTTTGGCATATTGAATACGTCACGGGGAGCTTGCCAGGCTTTGCCATGTGAGCAAGATACTCTCGGTAGCTTGCCGGGCTCTCCGAGAGGGGCGGAGGAATCAAACTTGACTTGGCCAGGCTGGCTGCGTGCAAGGCAAACGCCCGACCGCTATGTTATCGTTCCAGCCCTTGTGGAGTATAAAACAACATAACATGAGGCTGACACCTAAGGATAGTAGATACACAGGACATACAGATTTCTCCATAGCTGGAAGCCTGCCTCATGAGCAAAGGGGAGAAAGCAGCTGGAATAGAGAGAAGGGATCACTAAGAAAATGATGGCTTGAGGAACCGGTCGGGATGGGAGATGTGTGCAGAAAGTAGATAAAGGACCAAACATGATAACCTCTCAGTATCTGTATTGCAAACCATAATGCACAAAAGGAGAGAGAGAGAGAGAGAGAGAGAGAGAGAGAGAGAGAGAGAGAGAGAGAGAGAGAGAGAGAGAGAATGGGGGAATATTGTCTGCTGTGGAGGCAGGGGGAGGGTGGGAAAAGGGGGGCATACTGGGGATACTGGTGGTGGTGAATGTGCACTGGTGGAGGGATGGTTGTTTGATCATTGTGTGATTGTAACCCAAACATGAAAGCTTGTAACTATCTCACAGTGATTCAATAAAATTAAAAAATAAATTGCTGTTCTAGGGTTTGGAGCGATAGTACAGCGGGTTGGGTGTTTGCCTTGCATGCGGCCGACCCAGGTTCGATTCCTAGCATCCCATATGGTACCCTGAGCACCACCAGGAGTAATTCCTGAGTGCAGAGCCAAGAGTAGCCCCTGTGCATCACCAGGTGTGACCCAGAAAGCGAAAAAAATTGCTGTTCTGGGGCTGGAGCGATAGCATAGTGGGTAGGACATTTGCCTTGAATTCTACTGACCCAGATTTGATTCCCAGCATCCCATATGGTCCCCCGAGCACCGCCAGGAGTAATTTCTGAGTGCATGAGCCAGGAGTAACCCCTGTGCATCTCTGGGTGTGACCAAAAAAAGCAAAAAAAAATTGCTGTTATGTGTATGAAACACACCAGTACAGACCAGGGCAGGATCACCCTAGTTTTTGTACCAAACCTTTGCTGAGTGCACAGGGGTTACGGGGTAACAGGAGCACACACAACGATTTGGTGGATGCCATTTTAGCTAGAGCTTCTGCCCAGGAGGAGAGAAGTGAAGTGCAGGTAAATGTAGTGAGAAAGTACAGACTGGGAGGATGGAGGAACACAGTGTGTGTTCTCTAGTCATATACTCAAAGCCAACTTCATGTATATTTGGGGACTTGCAAAACAGAATGAATGCCTAGGAGACATTCTGTCAAAAAGGCAAACTTGCCTCTATAGAAAAATCAAGAAATTAATGAACCCAATTAAATTCTAACCATGAAGTTCAGACTTTGCTTCACTTTCCCAAATAATGCTACATGGTGATTTTGAAACAAATCAAAGGGTTCTAACCACGTCCCCCAAATGTACAGGTAGCATACTGGAGCCTTTGACTCTTAGTGGCTGGAATTTTGAGGGAAAACCATATTTGTACTGAATATTCAGAACTGTCCTGCAGTGGTAATTTTTGAGTAGATGGTGAATCTCCACAAGAAAGGCCACGAGATACTTTGACTTCTAGTTCACATGGACGCACAGCCCTGGCTTACACCCATGAAAGTATTGAGTCAACTGGGACCAAACAAGCTGCTGTGGGACTTGTACTTATCCTAATCACTGTCTGTTCTCTTCTCTCAAGCCATACCTTCTTTGAAGGTCTCCACAAATTCCAGCTGCCTCTTAAGAGCAATATTCCTTCCCCTTTCCTATAATAGCTACTTCCAGAGTTTAGAAGCCTCTGGTTATGGTGGCAGGAATTTTTGAATTTTTTCTTTAAAATCCTTGCTTCATATTCACCAGGAGCTTACGAGTGTGCGAAGTGCTAAGCCCCATGTAACCTTTTTGGAAACATTTCCTAGGAAGGAGGCTCTTCCTAGCACCACTTGGTCTCCCCAGGTTTCCGAAACACACCGCAAAGAGATCCCTTCTTACCTAGGCTATTTGTGTGTGGTGAATAACGCTATAAATCCCGAAAGTTTATAATGATCTTGATCAGTGTTTTTTCAGCCCTTGGGTCATGGGCTGGCTGGTACTCCCTCCCACCTCTTTCCCCTTTTCTTCTTTTGTCGTCCGAGTTATACTCACACCTGGCTGTGATGTTCACTTTCTTAAAATATTTTTATTGCAGTGACTGGACTTAGACCCAAAGCTTCAGACATGCAGGGCTCACACATGAACTATATCCACAGTCCACACACATTTTTTTGGAAGGGGATGTGTGCAGTGTGCAGAAGGGCCGGAACACGCCCAGCAATATATGACCATCATGTGAAGTGGGTTCAACATTAGGGCTCAAGGGTGTGATGCAACACAGTCCTTGCAGTGCCAGGGACCATCAGGTTCACACATTGTTGTGCTGGAGGACTTCCAGGGTTATGCTCATAGGTAAGTGGCAGGTGGGAAGGGGTTGCCACATGGAGTCAGGGACCTTACCCGGGTCTTGCACACAGAAGGATGCACACTGTCCTGTGCTAACTCCCTACCTCTCCTCTGACTTTTTCTTAAGCTACGGTGTTTGCTGGGGTTCACATATCAGGCTGGGGTACTTGCAGATCTAACCACAGTGCTCACCTGAGTTTGCATGTTCTTAGTCCTAGAACTCACACATGTGCTCACTGGGGGGTGCAGTCTTAGTTGAGGCACAAAAGTTATGGCTGTGGTGTTTGCAAGGGGGTTGTGGTGCCCACACACATGCTCACTTTCTGGCTCAGGCACTCACATTCTTTTTAGTATTGTGCTCGTTGAGGGTTGATCCACTGTTTTATTTATTTATTTTTTGCTTTCTGGGTCACACCTGGCGATGCACAGGGGTTTCTCCTGGATTTGCACTCAGGAATTACTCCTGGCGGTGCTCGGGGGACCATATGGGATGCTGGGAATCAAACCAGGCTCTGTCGCGTGCAAGGCAAACACTCTACCCACTGTGTTATCACTCCAGCCTCTGATCCACTGTTTGAGGTGCTTATATATACCTGGATGCAGTACAGCTGGAAACTGCTTGTGGCACCTGGGATCAGCCAGCATAGTTGCCATGATCATGCTTGAGGCATGTGGGACCCTGGGGATTTGCACTCACGAACATATTCTGGCAAGGCAGGTGCCCTGAGCCCCTTTTCTATTCTGCTGGGCCCTCTAGATAGTAATTTATAACTGTTTATTCCCATTTGATTTGATGATTTCATCACCCATATCTGTATCTGTTTATAGAATCTAACTTTGTCAAAAAACTGAGCTGGAAGTAGAAGAGGAATTAATACGCAAATGAGGTATACCTATTAAAAGAAGGCCAATGTTCCTGGTAACTGACTACACTGGCTGACACTGGCTGAGATTTTGTAAAAGTTCCAGAAGGAAATGGTAGGAAATTTGATCATCAATAGTCATAATAGTGCAGATATGGAGAGTCCAGAAAGTCATTGGTTGGTGTCAAGACTAGAGTAAGCAGTAGAACAACTCACAAAACAACATCTGGCTCTAGATATGCACCTGAATTTTATTTTGTGTTCTTGTTTATAGTAGATTTGTAAACTTATTGGGGGGTAGGGTTGGGGATGAGTTTTGGGCCACACAAGCAGTACTAGAGGGCTTACTCCTGGCTCTATACTCCTGGAGATGCTCAAATATCCGGCTTGATTCTGTTATTTAGAGAAAACCTTATGCTAAAGAACTCATTAGGGGCTAGAGAGATAAGTACAATGGGCAGGGCACTTGCCTTGCATATGGACAACCCGGGTTTGACCCCCAGAACTTTCTATGATCCTCTGAATGCAGAGTCAAGAGTGAGTCCTGAGCACTGCTTGTGTGTAGCCCAAAAAGAGAAAGAGAGGGGGGGAAAAACAGAGCTCATTAAAGAGGAAAAGAGCTTTACCCACTTGCACTTTCTCTCTAGCCCCATGCCTTATCCATTTTAATGATTTTCTCAGGATACATTCATATATAAACATGGTTATTCGGGTGCGGGCACTGAAACTCTACTGGCAACAGTAGAAGCATTCTGTTGTTACTTTCCCCCAGGTACCAAGGAGACCTGTTTAAATCTTGCTCTGTAACGTTCTATCAGTCATGCTCTTCATGTATTCAGTAAAAGACGAACAGCTCAGGGGCTTTAGCGATAGCACAGCTGGTAGGGTGTTTGCCTTGCATGCGGCCAACCTGGGTAGATACCCAGCATCCCATATGCTCTCCCAGCATCGTCAGGAATGATTCCTCAGTTCAGAGCCAGGAGGAACCCTGAGCATCACCAGGTGTGACCCCCCCCCCCCAAAAAAAAAAGACAAATAGCTCATTCACAAGAAAATGGGTGCCAACAGAATCCCCACGGATAATTCTCTAATTTATACCTATCCATGCCCTTGTGAAGTAAGGTATATAAAAAATCTTTTTGTTTTCTGCTCAAACATGTTGAAAGCAGTTTGCTTAGATAACTGTTGCAGCTTTTTGAAAAGTGAGCCGCAAGTCAAGGCCAGACAGGTGCTCACAAGGCAAAAAAAGCCAAGTCCCCTTCTGCAGTCTCTGCTGAACAGGGAGGTCCAGAGGCTCAGCGGTGGTTTGCAAGCAAGCAGTCCTAGAAAGCTTTTGCTAAAGTTACCATGTAATCTTTTATTCTGTCCTGGGTGGTGGTGGAATCCTAGCGGTGCTTAGGGGCTATATATCTGGCTCTCTGCTCAGGATTGACCCCTGAAGGTGCTTAGGCGGCCTTAAGAGGGACTGGAGATTTTAACTGGAGTTGGCCGCAAGCAAGGCATAAGTGCCTTAACCCCAGTACTATTTCTCCCGCCCTTACTAAAGTGTATTTTTTTTCTTGAGGGGGGAAGGTATGTATGCAACACCCCGCAATGCTCAGAGGTTACTCCTGACAGCACTTAGGAATTACTCCTGGTTGTGCTTGGGGGACCATATGGGTTGCCAAAGATCAAATCGCCCTGCTCGCTATCCTGTCATTCCGGATCTAAAGGTGTTTTTTCAAAGTTTTTTTTGTTGTTGTTAGATGTATTACAATTTACTTAATTATTGTAATACTGCTTCATAGAATACTAATAAGCAACCAGGTTCTTTTATCACCTTTATAAAGGATCCTTAACTGATCCCAAACTACCCTTGAAAGAACTGGAGGCTTGGTAATTCGCGCCACCTGAACGGGCTGGCATGGGGTGGGGGGGGGGAGGGGCGAAGACTAGGCATCCAGGGGTGACCCACGGGGCACCAATCCTGCAGGCACTTTCTTTTTTTAAATTTCATTTTTATAAAGTTGCTCATAATAATCGAGTACATTCAGTATTCCATGCAACACTAATCCCACCACCATTACACCTCGCCACGCCACCACCGTATTTCGAATTCCTCCACCCCATCCCCAAACCCTGCAGGCACTTTCGAGGCCGCCCCCCCACCCCGAATGAAGGGTTTGAGGGGTGCGCGGCCCCGGGGCAGCCCGTTGGGAAACGGGTAGCCGAGCACGCCGCACGCAGGGCTGGGGCCTGCCACCCGGGACACAGCGCTGGCAGCCACACGCAACACGGGCCGTGCCCGGGCGCGGCGTGGAGCGGCCAGGCCCAGCGGCCGGGTTCGGGCCCAGCAGCGCCGGCTCCCGGGGAGCCCGCCCGCCGCGCCCCGCCGCGCCCCGCCTCTCGCCCCACCTCGGCGCGGGCTGCGCTCCCGCGGGCGGGGCGGGGCGGCGCGGGGGGCGGGGATTTCTGGCACTTTCTGGGCGCTGCGAACCGGCAGAGCCCGGGCCGGAGGCCGGAAACGCCGGCGAGCGCGGCCCCGCGGCCCCTTTCCCCCGCCGAGCCCGCGCCCCCCGCAGACATGGCCAAGTGGGGCCAGGGCGACCCGCGCTGGATCGTGGAGGAGCGCGCGGACGGGACCAACGTGAACAACTGGCACTGGTGCGGGGCGCGGCGGGCCGGGGCGGCTTCTGCGCTCTCGGCCGCGAGGGCCCCGGCGGGGGGTGTCGGGGGCGGCCGCCGGGATTACCCCCCCCCCCCCCCACCCCGCTCGCCGCCCACGGCTGCGCATCCTTACCCTGCGGGCTCGGCGGGGGGTGGGCGGTGAGGTCGCGGGGGCGTCCGAGGCCCCGCGTCCTGCCCGCCCTGGGGCTGGACTTGCCTCTGAAAGTTGGGGTCGTCCCCCCAGAGGCACTCGGATTCCCCTCCTTGACCCGCGGAGCCGCCCCTGCCCTCCTCCCAGCCCTAGCCCGCGAGATGACTCTTGTGCCCGAAGGAGCTGCAACGTGTGCCGGCAGTGTGTGGGGAGGGGGGGGGGAAGGGGGGTGGGGCGGGCTTTGGGGCTTCGGGTGTCGTGGGATGCACGGGGTTGGCATCGCGAGCCACTTTTCACCCGGCGAGGCTGGCCTTCGAGGAGTTGGCACGAATCGCCCGGCCTTTGGCAGCTCCTCTGGAACTTGGGCTCGTTTCTACCCCCCACCCCCGCCCCCCTAGCTTCAGGAAGCCCCGCGCCGGGCTGGGGCACTTCAGGGCCCCAGGTGTGTGACCGGGGATCCTTCCCTGGGGGAGTGGGAGCACCTGAGGCCTTTCGTACACCCCACCCACCCGTCCCATCGATCAGTGACTTCTCTCCTTCGCGTTTCCAACCCCTAGAATGGGAACTTGGGTGCCTGCGATAAATGACATGTGAAAACACTAATGTGTTTGGGGTTTAAGATGCTTTGAGTTATTCCTGCCTTGCGGCCTTGGCTCCATCTTCCCCATCCCCCAGTTTCTAATGGGTGATATTGCTAGATGTCCCACCTCCCCCAAGAAGCCAGTTTGAAAGACGGAAAACCACTTAGTGGATAAACCATATCTTTAATACCCGAAGGTATGGAGGTGGAGGATAAGAAATTGGGTAGGAAGCCAGTTTGTCACCACGCAAGTGAGGATGGCCCACCTGTGCCGCGCGGGTGGATGGAGACCGTCTCCGCCTTCCATTTAGGCTCCTGCCCCTCTGGTCCCTGGCAGGACAGAGCGAGATGCCACCAGCTGGTCCAAGGGGAAGCTCCGAGAGCTGCTGGTGGGCATCCTGGTGGAGAACGAGGCTGGCCGCTGCGAGATCAGCGAGCTGAAGCAGGTGGAAGGTGAGGCTTCCTGCAGCAGCCGCAAAGGAAAGCTGATTTTCTTCTATGATTGGAACATCAAACTCGGCTGGAGAGGTAAGTGGGGTCTCAGGTGGGTGAAACTGGAAACATTACTGGAGCAGAGGTGATTGATGCTTTCGTCTTTCAGTGGTAATACATACATTGCATATATACATTATTATTATTTTTAAAACATAGATGGTGAGGGGCCGGAGAGATAGTGCAGCGAGTAGGGTGCTTGCCTTGCATGCCTCTGACCAGGGTTCTATTCCCAGCATCCCCGATGGCCCCTTGAGCACTGCCAGTAGTCATTCCTGAGTGCAGAGCCAGGAGTAAACTCTGCGCACCTCCAGATGTGGCCCAAAAGCTTCCCCACACCCCCGAAATTGAAATGCTAGTCTGCTTTAAAAAAAAATAGGTGGTGGGTGCACCAAGCTACACCTGATGGTGCTCGGTTTATGCAGTGCCAGGGATTCAACCTAGAGTTTTGTTCATGCCAAGAAACTTGAGCCACATTTGTGGTCCCTCAGCACTTTTTGTGGCTGTGAATGTGCACACGCATGTATTTTATGTTGGTGTCCTTGCAGCTTGCTATGGCTGTGTGTGTGTGTCCTTGCCATAGCACCCCTTCGGGAGGCACCACCTTTTCTCCTAGCACCTGGGGCCACTCAGTTTCTTACTCTCAACTTAGCTGCATGAGACCCAGACTTTCTTGAGAGTTCTCCTGGAAGCCTTGCCTTTGAGGCAAGTTCTGTCCTCAGTGGAGCCTCCTATCTCCAGCTATAGAAGTTGCAGCCCCTCCCTAGTGTGACCATCAGACTGGTTTGGTTCCTGAGTGGGTCCTTGAAGTTGATGTGTAAAAGTAGAGTCTGAAACTGCAGGTGTTTATGAAGTTATTTATGTAACAGCTTTAAGAAGGTGGTTTTGGATCCCTTAAGGTCCTGTGTACAGGCCTCACACTGGTTCTTTGTTGATTCTCATGTGGTCAGCCTTGGGCCACACGGTCTCTCACTAGTTCTGTCCCTTGAAGCCCGTTGCTGTCCTTCCAGTCTGTGTTGGGCTCTGAGCCATCGTCTCAAGGCCTATAGCCCCGTGGCTCTTTGTTCCTTTATTGTGCCCAGGCCCCGTGCGTGAGATCAGCTGCTTTTCTTGCTAAATACCAGGGCACAGGTGAGGGGTCCGAGGAGTTGCCATAGGTCCAGGCATGAACATAAGAGTTGAAGAGAGACATTGCCTGACTTGTTTGTAAGTGTGTATTAGTAGTATTGTTAGCCGTATCCACAATATGGCTGTCATTTTTTTAGGACCAGTTCTCTTTGCGAAATTACTGGGCGCCCCTGCGCTCCCCTGGACTCTCTCCTTTTCTCCTTGCTTTCTCCAGAGCACCGATGGTGCACACTCTCCGCTTACCTGAATCTTCTGTTTATTGTTCAGTGGCCTCTCTTCTCCCATTGGACCAGTCAGGGATTTTTTAAAAGGCCAGCTTGACAGAGAAGCCTTTACAAACCATGTGTTTCCTCCACGAGCAGTGTCCAGTTGAGTGAATTTTAGCGGCCATGACTATAGTCAACTTGATCTATTTTCTATCTCTGGGGATTTGCCTCCCCGGGCATTTCTTACAGATAGAGGCACACAGGATGCGGTCTTTGGTAACTGACATGTTGGTGTAATATTTTCTGGTTTCTCTGGGTTGTGGCCTGTGCGGTACATGTTTTCAGACTGAACGTAGCCTCAGTCAGTGACATTTGTGCTGTTTTTGTCTCATGGGATTTGTGTCCAAGTGCAGACTCCTATGTAGCACATTGTTTATTGAGAGCACAAGTGCTGCCTGTAGTTAGGTTGTGGCCGAGTGAACAGTCTGTGCTCAGTTACTGCTGAAGTACCACAGATGAGACACAGAAGGGAGGGATGAGAAGGGACCGTGCTGTGTTGAGTTTGTGCCTCAGTTCCTATTTGAACTAACCTCGGAGAGAAGGCTGCCACAGGGTTGGCCCTGCTGGCAACTGGCCAGGTCAGTGCCCAGGATTTCCGCTCTGGCTTTAGAGCAGGATTTACCCTCTTACCCGTCTGTCTCCCTACATGATCCTGCATCCTTTCCAGCTCCCTTACCTCAAAACAGCAACCTGCTCCTTGGTAAGAGAAGGCCCAGGCATTTCCAGCAGCTGGAGAAAGGCTGCAAAGGGTTTAATGCCTTTTAATTAATTTATTTAGGTGACACGCTTTAGACTCCTGTATGTTTTGTGAATATACTGCTGATTTTTTTTCTTTGTGGTTACCATGAGACATCATAAAATATACTTATACTGTTCCTTTTCTTTTATTTTGCTTTTTTTTGGGTCATATCTGGTGGTGCTCAACAACCCATGGGGTGCTGGGGATGGATTCTAAAGTTTGATCACATCCCCCTCTTCTGTCTCCATCTGATTCCCAGGGTTTCCCATGAGATCGAACCCAAGTGGGGCTCCCAAGTGCATCCCATAATTCTCTGGGATCTGAGACTTCGCCCCCTTCTGTTCTTCTTTCCCCTCTGGAGAAGGACTGCAGGCCCAATAGGGTCCTCCCAGCGCCCTTATGAAGTCAGAGTATGCCTCCCCTCATACCTTCTCAGATTCTGCTCCAGGAGTCTGTTTTGGCTTCACCTGGGGTTTGGGGATTTTCACAGTAGCATCAGGCTAATGGGGCCTGAGTCCTAGAATCACCTGTGTGGCCATCTTGATGCCACTGAAATCAGTCCTCTGGTCTGAGAAGGAATGCGAATGTGTGGAACCATGTGAAGAGGCCACACCACAGCCTCTCGTGTCTCTCTGTGCTCGGGGTGTTGATAGCTTGCTGCTTGCTGGTTCCTTCCTCAGGATGCCCTTACAAAAATCCTTCCTTGGTCCGGCAGAGTATTGGGGTAAGAAGAGAAACGCTCTAACCTCATGCTTCACCTGAATTCCAGATTTGGGGGTCAGAGGGAGCTTGTTCTGTCCCTACCTTTCCAGGTTGCTGACCCCTGATGCAAGCCGGGAGAAACAATTCGCTTTGGTTCCTGTATTGGGGCCAAGCCTCAGTGACCTTGTCACCAGGGGGTGACAGTTTTCAGTTGGGCAGGGAAATTTTGCACCAACCAATTGCTACTTGATAATTAGAGAACATGTTTTCATTATTTTAGGTACAATTAAAGAATCTGGTGTAAAGCATAAGGGGTTGATTGAAATACCAAATCTTTCTGAGGAAAATGAAGTAGATGACACTGAGGTGAGTTAGCTGCTAGAGTCTCTTTTCTTCTCCTCTTTCTCTGTCAAGCTTTCCCTATGGATTTTGGCATTTGGAAGAAAAATGCCTCAAACTATGAGACTATTATCCCTATGCATTTTGGAGAACTGGATAAGCCCAAAAGATTGGTTTTTCCGTGAGGGAGAGCTGAGGTATGGGCAGAGAGCTGTAGGAAACAAGTCTAGGAGGCCCACAGGGCAGATGTCACCCTGGCCAGGGCTCCGTGCTGTGTCCCCTGATCATGATCATGCATTTTCCTAACAGTGTTAGCAGGTGATTGTGACAATATGTGACTCACAGTATGCACAGCTTGGTGAAAGACATTTCTTCTTCCCTTGCTGCTGCTTGGTTTTTTGGTTTTGGAGCCACACCTGGCTGCACTCAGGTCCCACCTCTGTGCTTAAGGATCACTCCTGGTAAAATTTGGGGGGCATAAGGGGTGCCGGGGATTGAAACAGTGTTAGCCACAAGCAAGGTGAATACCTTACCTGCTATTTCTAAAGCCCTCTTCTCTCCTCAGCTGTTTGCTTTAGTAGTGAAAATTTCTTGACTTTTAGCTGTGATCTCCCTGGGTTATATTGTGTATTGGTTTTTTTTTTGGCTTTTTGGGTCATACTCGGCAATGCTTAGGGGTTCCTCCTGGCTCTGCACATAGGAATTACTCCGGCAGTGCTCAGGGCACCATTTGGGATGCTGGGAATTGAACCTGCGTCGGCTGTGTGCAAGGCAAACACCCTACCCACTGTACTATTGGTCCAGCCCCTAGATTGTGTATTTTTTATGTTAGCATGTCTTGCTTTTGACTGGATCTTCTAGATCTCTCAGGAGATAGAGCTTTGTGTAACTCCCAAGCTTCGTTTTCAGTGTGTACCATCTTAAAGATGAAAGCGTGGTTTTGAGGTGAGACCTTTTGTTTAGTAGCTATGTTTTCCACGATAGGTCAACAAAGGAACTTTTTTTTTTTGACTTGTAAACTCAAAATTCAACTTGTAAAACCCTTCTAAGATAGAAAAACTAAATCATAATGAGCAGCATTTCATTGATACGCCTTTATTAAGGGTTATAGAATGCCATAAAAGAATGTCACAGACATTTTCAGATACGTGGTTGCTATACTCAAGGGCTCTGATATCACTTTGCTCTGTTCTAACCCATCAGCAGATATTTTAGTCAATATGGTTAAGAGGTTTTTTAGAGCTGACCTTTGGTTGCATTGCAGAGCTAACTCTTAGACTGAGACTGGGCTGTGGGGCTCAACTAAATCATGGGAAGTCAAAATGTTTTCACACCAACATCTTTTCTCATTCTTTTTTTTTTCTTTTCTCATTCTTATGACCACCATAGACCCTGGTTTAATCTGTGAGCACTGCCAGGAGTGATCCTTGAGCACAGAGTCAGTAGTAATCCCTGAGCACAGCTGTGCATGGTTCCAAAACAAGTCAGCACATTCACCCCAGAGGAACAAACACTGATGCTTTTTACCTCCCTGTGTCCCTTTTTCTCCCTCTTTTCTCCTACTAACTCTTTTCCTCCCTCATTCCTCTTACTTCCCTGCCCCCCATAGAAAAAAAGAATTATAATAGAATCACAGATGGAATTTAAGATTTTCTAGTAGTTTCCAGTAGTTTGCCTTGCACGCGGCCAACCTGGATTCGATGCCTCTGTCAGAAAGCCCGGCAAGCTACTGAGAGTATCCTGCCCGCACAGCAGAGCCTGGCAAAACTCCCTGTGGCGTATTTGATATGCCAAAAACAGTAACAATAAGTCTCACCATGGAGACGTTACTAGTGCCCGCTCGAGCACATTGATGAACAACAGGAGGACAGTGCTACAGTAGTCATTTAAAAAGTAAACAGACGAGGGACCTGGGAAATGACTACAGGACTCAGCGTGTTGGGGCTTCCTTCGCTACACACATGGTCCCCTGAACACTGCTTGGAGTGACTCCAGTTCCATGCAGAGTTTTGACTCCAGCACTGCTGGGTGTGGCCCCAAAACCAAGATCAAATTAACTTGAATATTTTTATTTAGCCCAGTGTATATTAGAAGACCATTTTAGATGGATTGATAATATAGTGGGTAGGGCACTTGCCTTGCACATGGCCGACTGAGTTTGATCCCTAGCACCCTATATGGTCCCTAGCCAGCTGTGGCCCTATATGGTCCCACTGCTAGCTGTGGCCCCCAAACCAAAAAGCAAATAAAAACAATAAAAGACCATTTTTACATAATATGTAATTAATGTAAAATTATTATTATGCATTATTTTTTCATAATAAGTATTCTAAATCTTGCATGTATTTTATTTTTATAGTACATCTCAAATTAAGTAAGACCAGTCACATTTCAGGTACTCAGCAGTGGTATGTGTCTAGTGGCTATTGAATTTTATAGCAGATCAAGGGGCTTACATTCTAAGAAGCTCATTCAGGGCTTGGTACTAAGTCAGGTTATCTAGATAAATACCAATTACAACTCACAGACTGCGTTACTTTTACTCATTCATTGATTATGAATCCCTGATTATAAATCTCTTACATTTCTTAGAGTTTTCTCAAACTATATGAAAATCATCTTCTCTTAAATCTGCTTCTTCCCCTACTCTAACCAATCACAGTTCTTTCATTCATGTGTCCCAGTGTTGTAAGAATATATCAGACAAGAATTTTCTTAAATTTGTGTTTCTCTGATTTGTAGGTGAATGTGAGTAAAAAGAAAGGCGATGGGGATATACTGAAGGATCTTATGAAAACTGCAGGCACCGCCAAGGTCAGGGAAGCGCTTGGAGAGTACCTGAAGGCACTAATGACGGGTAAAGAAGGCATACCCTGTGAATCAAAGAATTTCTTACTATTCACTCAAATTATACTTTATATTGTGATCTGCATTCCCAGGTTAGGCTATGGGGAACTTCCAGAAATAACTCTTTCTGCTGCAGGGTAAATTGCAGTCTGGAGGTTGAGAGCTAGTTGAGAAAGTCCTTAATTAGTGATTACCAGTATTATATGTGGTGTATTTTGCCTAAGGATATATTAAGTTTTTCTGGAATGATAATCTCAGTTTGTTTATATAATTACTTGTTTAATATCTGTCTTCCCTGCTAGACTATAAGCTCCATGAGGGCATGGAAGGTGTCTCTCTTGATAACTGCTGTATCTCCAGCATCTAGCACAATTCCTGGCACATAGTAGGTGCTTAATACATCTTTGTTGAATGAATGAATGAGTGAAAGTGACTGCAGGTATAATACTTGTAATTGGGATTTATCTAGATAATCTGTATACTTTGTGGAAATGAGGTTACCTATCTGGGAGAAGAATCAGCAGGACCTCTCTGTCTGCATCTCATCTCTGGATTGCAGTCTACGTATTTATGTGTTGGCATAGTTGTATTTGGTGTTGCCACTCTCCACAACCACATGTGGCTGGCCTGCAGACCTGAAGAGGGGCCAAGCTTTAGGAGATGGTGATAAAATAAAGAGAAAAGTATCCAGTTTTGAGAAAAGGCGAAGGCCTCAAAGTTGTATTAGACTTAGCTTTTTTGAAAAAGGACATCCATTTTTTCATTGTTTTACTAAAAACAGGATGAAAGTGAGACATTAGAAAAAACATAAAAGGCTTTTTTTTTTTTTTTTTGCTGTGGCATCATGTTTATTAGTTTTATTTAAGAAAGAAGAATGGGCTTGAAATTTGAAAATGTTATAGGAACTTTTTGAGACCAGTTCATCAGTATAGGAGAAAAGATTACAGGTTAAGGCACTTGCCTCACATGTAACCAACCTGGTTCAAATCTCCAGCACCACATACGGTACCCCATGGACTACTAGGAGTGATCACTTAGCAGAGAGCCGAGAGTAAGCCCTGAGCCTTGCTGGGTGTGGTTCCCTTCCACTCCCCTCCCCCCCCCCCAAAAAAAAGTAAAAATGAATTGTTTTCAATTTATTTATGGCTTATGGGTCCACCCAGGGTTGCTCAGCGTTTACTCCTGACTGCACTCAAGGATTATTCCTAGTGGTGCTCAGAGCACCAAGTGGGGTGCTGAGCATCCAACCTAAATTGACCTCAGACAATGCAAGGCAAGTGCCCTACCTGCTGTACTATTGCTCCAGCCTCACCAACTCATTTTTTATATGCTTGTTTTTGTTTCCTGCCTATTTATGATGAAAAGGAAAAAAGGTTTTCATTAATACTATTTCCTGTTTCTTTGTAGAATTTACAATGGGAATGATTTTACCAACAAAAGCTATGGCAGCCCAGGAAATGACTGTTAAAAGGAAACTGACTGAGAGTACTCTGCAGGTATTGCCTCTAGTGGCCAGTTTAGAGGGAGTGGGGAAAGGAAGTGCTGAATGACAGTGCCCAAAAGCTTTGAACAGCTTTTCAATGGAGAACTATAAAAGATGGAGGAGGGTCACTTAATCTGTGTTCCCTTTACGCAGAAAATGACAGATGAGACTTTCATTCTTGATGGAAGAAAATGGAATACAGGCCTCTATGTGGGATTTTGAATTTAGTTCAAGAATGTTCTTTGGTAGCAACAGCTATTTTTTTGTTGTTATTTATTTTATTATTTTTTAAATTTTTAGTTTTTTAAATTTTTATTAGTGAAACACCATGAGGTACAGTTGTAGACTTACAAATTTTTGTGCTTGGGTTTCAGTTACACAATGATCAAATACCCATCCCTCCACCAGTGCCCATTTTCCACCACCATGGGTCCCAGTATCCCACCCTGCCTCTGTGGCAGGGCATTCCCTTTTGTTCTTTCTCTCCTTTTGGGTGTTGTGGTTTGCAAAAGAGGCATTTAAAACCAGGTCATTTTGAGGTTCATATACTAAAATTTAAGACCCTTTTCTCCAGAATTGGATTGAGAGGTTCTGGACCCTTTTCTTGGAATCAAGTATCAATTAATACTCTGTCATTAAGTGCTATTATTTTCCTCCTGCTTATCTTTGTTCCTGTTGGGCATTTAGAAATGATCAAGTAAAATTTCAGGTATTAAGCTGAGAGTGGACTAGCCCTGCAGAGCTGTAGGAACAGTGAGCTCCTTTCCAAAGTAAAGACCAGATGATGTTTGTTTCTTTTTTTAATAAAAAAGGCTTTTATTCTGGCAAGACTGATTTTTAAGCAGCTTTTGTCTTATGGTATACTGCTTATCCTTTGACACCTCTTCTCTTGAGATCCAGGCTTCACCTCCTGTGGCACTGGGTGTGAAGATTCCCACTGTTGCACTGCAGATGATGGACGTGTTTGACACAGCTGTGGAGCAGCTGTATAGCATCTTCACTGTGAAAGATGTGAGTTCACTTTTCAAGCTAGGATCATAATTGCTGGCATTACGAGAAAAGGTGCTGCTAAGAATTGGAATTGGTTTTGGCTTCTCTAAAAAGTAGTGTTTTTGTGACTAAAGGGCTTTGGAATAGTAATGGATGTATGGAAGATAGCTTCTAAAAATTATGGGAGCAAGGGGAGGGATGGGCATTTTGGGCGATTTTTTTTATTTTGGGGCCACACCTGGCAATGCTCAGGGGTTATTCCTAGCTCTGTACCCAGAAATTACTCAGTTGCAATGCTAGGACGACTATATGGGATGCCAGGAATCCCTGGGTTGACCTTACCCAAGGCAAATGCCCTACATGCTGTACTCTGGCCCTGGGTAAGTTTTATTTTAATTTTTGGGCTACAGCCAGTGGTGCTCAAGGCTTGCTTTCTTTAGGCTCTGCTCTCAGAGATTACTCCTAGAGAGCCTGGGGTGGGAGGTTGGTGAACACTGTACCGGGTGCAGGGGTTTGAACCCAAATCTGCTACTTGCTAGGCAAGAACCTTATCCATTGTATGGTTTCTACAGTCCCTGGGAATTTTGGTGGTGGGGATGGTGCCTGGATATTTTTCCTCTCTGAAAGAGGGAGAGAAAAAAATAGCCGTAAAACATTAATTACTACCACACAACAGTAATTTTTTTTCCCTTTCTGGGCCATATTGCTTAGTGTTGAGGCAATTCGTGGCTCTATGTTCATAGGCAACTCCTGACACTGCTCAGGGGACAATATATAGTTCTGGAAATTTGAACCAAGGTAATGGCAACTACTTTTCCCATCTCTCCAGCACTCAATGATTATTATGTTGGTATAATAAATACACAAATACAAGATTAAGGTCTGGGAAATGACTTTTAGTCCTGATAAATCCTTACAGTAACTGTACAGATGCTTAGGACTTTAGAATAGTGTAAGTCCACAAGGATCTGAGTTCTGTCCTGCTAGAATAACATGTTTACTGTATGTTTTGCTTGATTAGTTGGTGGAAAAATTTTCCAACTCGCCTGCTGTAGTAGAAGCTGAAAAGGGAGGGAAATTCCAAATGTTCGATGGGAATGTCACTGGTGAATATATAGAACTGGTAAGTAATCAATGTTAAAAATAAGTTAGGACTACGATTACTTTATCTATGCTGTTTTTGTGTTTCACTTGAATTCATATACTTATAGTCTCCTTGTTTCCCAGCTGAGCTATTTCATCATTCTCCAGAACTCATATACTAAGTAAGGAGGAGAGTCCTTAAAGTAATTGTGCAAATGCTTGAGATTTTAGAACAAGTGAAAATTCTCTGAATCCATGGTCTTCTATACTTTCAGGCTTCTGCCACTAGATTCTGTCACCAGACTGATATTAATTGAATTTTTATAGACTTTTGGCAGTAGCAACAGTGGATCTCAATGGTGCCAGTTTATAAACTGGAAAATGGTTATATGTTGTACATTCTTCTGGTATTTAGGGTTTATTTATTTTTTTAAAGAGAGGACCTGGTCATGTGGGAAATTTTTAAAAATTTTCAAATGCAATTTTCTTTATTTTCAGCTAACAAATAAAAAGATCGTCATGAAATGGAGATGTAGGAACTGGCCAGAAGGTATGGTGTTAGTACCACTAAGTGCTCAAAAACTTTTAAGCTGTTCTTCCTCACCATGAAAAGTTGGTACTATGTACATAAATTCTTTCTTAATGCAGTAATTTCTTTTCCCCCCCCAGAACACTATGCAACAGTTGCACTGAGTTTTGTGTCCACTCCAGGGCAAACGGAATTACACTTGGACTGTAAAGGAGTTCCTGTCTGTAAAGAAGAGAACATGAAATTCTGCTGGCAGAAGCAGTATTTTGAAGAAATAAAAGGTTTACTGCAGCTGACCACTCTAAATGGTTGAAATAGATTTTATAAGGGCAATACTATTTTTTTTAAGCAAAAAAAGTGCGAAGTTTACCTCTTCCTTTTATTCCTTCTAAAAGAGAAAAAACCTTCTCTTTACATGGAGTGGAATCCATTAACAAAATGGAATGTAAAGCAGTGTTTGAATTTTTACTACTGGTCTCTAAATTGAGTTAAAAGCAGCAAGCAACCTGAAGTTACTAATCTTACCTGTCATAGATATTCCTCTGGTAAAATGGATTCAGTTCTGGAATACACATTAATTGGTTTCCCAAGCTAAAGCATATTCCAGCCAACCTATCTTTCGGCTACAGTTTTATAGTACAGAAAGACCTAACCTAAAAAGGCATGCTGATGCTGTTCCTTTATTTAACATTTTCAAGATTTTTTTTTTTTAAGTTCTGTAGCTAGCTTTTAGGTGGTGAATCAAACCATGGCTTAGAATGTAAACGTGAGAAATAGCTAGCTGCACTGTTCTGCTTCTTCAAGCCATTCTTGGTTGTCTGCGTAGGTACAAAGGAATTGGAGCTTGCCCCATTGTTTTCTTTTTCATCTGAGAAGATTCAAGCAACGTATGTAAAACAAATGAAAAGTCATCACAATCAGTTTAATTAAGTGCACAGAATAGCAATCAGTCATGTCAATAAAAATAAAACAATTATTTTTACATCAAGTGTGCTTTATTTCCTCCACAGGTATTCTGTTAAATAAAGCACCATTTATATACTGCCAGGCCACAGCTAAAGAGGATTCTTTACAGAATCAAATTTCTTGTGGTTGTTCCGTATACAAGTAAACTTAATTTTGATAATAAGAACCACAGCGATCGGAGGCAATCTGCCTCTATTATAAGGTACAAAACTGGCACAGAGGACACCATATTATACACAGTAAAAATGCTGTAAGTTTAAATTACATTGTACAGGGCCAGGAAACCCTGTTCCTCCCAGACAGCCATATTAAATGAAAGCCACTACAGTGAACTCTTTAATTACATAAAACATATCCATTATCTGATTGCCCTTTAGAAAGTATATTGAAGATGCAAATTTTTTCATCTGGAGTTCTGCCTGACCAAGAATTAAGCCTATAAATCTATCTTGCCATTCAAGCAGAGAGCACTGGACAAACTGAAGCACAAAACAGAAATAAGCAAACTTATACAAACAGCGTTGGGGGGAAGGGACCTTAAAAGTAGACATGCTACATCTAATGTCAAGAAGCAGCTTGGTTTCCTTTGCCTGATATCCTCGTGACCACATGGATCGTAGATTCAATGGTCCTACACAGGGTATCTAAAATGTCGTGTTGCTGCATATGACTAAAGAGTCCTCTGGAATGGCCACAACTAAGTGATAAAGCAGCCTCAGGGTCCTGGGAGGGCAAGGTTTGACCATCACAGCTTCTCAATTCAGCTAAGTCAGATAGAACTGCAGAGATGGAAGTAGAAGGGAACTCAGATTCTTCCTCAGCCAGGTTCGAATCTTTGGAACAGTGGAGGTCTTTAAATTCTTTACAGTCTTCAAATCTACCATTGCTAGACTGTTCTTCCGCATGCTGTGACCTGATGCTTGATATGTCTTCTGAAAACGAAGATGGGACTTCCATTCGGTATTCTTTAACAGAACTATTTTCAGGGGAAGGAAGATCTTGCTCAGTTCCTGGATCAATAATTGAGGAGTCTCTTGTCTCATTGTCTGAAGTGCTAGTTGGGGTTAGAACCTCCCTGGTTTCTGTTTTCATGTCGCTAATGCAACAATCTACAGTGTGCTCCTCATCACTGCTAACTCGTCTTCTTTTAACAGGAGTCACCCCTTCATCATCTGTGAAAAGGAACATCAAACTTTGTTAGAACCATGAGGGGGGAGGCGGGGGAGGGGGAGAGAGTGTCTGTGAGAAACTTTGTCTTTAAAATTTTTATGTAGGAGACTTAAGTCATAATGAATGCTCTTAGTCCACAAGACTAACCTTTAGTTTTTCTTTCTTTGGCTTCATGCTCTTGGAGTGAGTTTCTCTGCTGCAGACAAGTCCTGCATTTGCTTAAAAGCTCTTGCAGAGTTGGAATTAGAGCTGGGTTTAATTGTTTTGGAGTGTGTACTGACAGGAGCAAAGCAAGTGCCCGCAGGTCCTACCAAAAAAAAAAAAAGATTTTATTTCTAAAGCTAACATTCTGACACAATTGTCTACAGTTTAATTGCATTTTTACTTTGATAAGAATCCCTCCTGATCTTCCTGGCATTTGTAGAATGCTGAAACCAAGAGCCAGTGTTATGACACTACTACAGTTCGCTAATTTATGTATTATAACTAAAACAGTACTAGATCTTTTCTGAAAATGGGGGTAAATTTTACACCGGAATTTAAAGAAATATTCAGAGATCCAAAAAAAGGTCTTATTCTTTAAATCAAGTTCTCAAAATTTGCTGATTTCTAGTAGATAACATAAACAGTAACTTTGCTGAGTACCCTATCTAAGCATTTTGTTTCTTGGGAAGTTGCTTATAGACAATGTAACATTCCCAACGTGGTAGTATCACAGGCAATGAAACTATTTCTTTGTCTGAACCAGCTAGCTTCATGATTGATAATTGTTTCTGCTATGAGACAGTAAACAAAAACACAGTATTTCAAAACTGTAAGCAAGAGTACAAAACTGTAAGCAAGAGTTTTCTCAGTTACTTCAGTGCTCCTGGTGTTTAATGACCTAATAGCTGCTGCTTCTAAGGTTACAGGCATTAGTCAATATGCATTAAAAATTTTGGTTACTCTTTAAGATGTGATTTGGTTAGAGATAAAACCCCAAGGCCAAAGTTAAAAACTGATATAAGGGAAGTGCTGGACTATGCCTGCCTTTTATAAATTCTTACCCCATTTAAAGAAGCACTTGCTTTGGAAATTTCAATTCTGTTGGTGAAATCAGATTGTAGATTCTGGTACTGATTTATCAAGTTTGTAATAAGGGTGCTGATCAAATTGGCACAATTTGCTTCAGAAAACACTTGACCTTGAACCTAAAAAAGATGTTTTTAAAAAATAGCAAAAGACCAACAATGAAACAAATCTATTTTATTAAAAGCATTATCTTTCCAAAGTCTAACTTACCTTTAGAAGAAAATGTGTCATGAATGTGTAGACAATGTTGTTGTTTAGAAAAGTCCTTTCATCCATGAGGATACATTTTATATATTCTGCAAAAACAGGATCTTCACACAAAAGCTTGATGCAGTTTTTTGACATAGCAGACTAAAATGGAGAAAAAGGACTTAAGGTTGAGCACTGTATAACTGTAAACCTTAAACACACTGATTTTGCTATGTGTCTTCTTTTAAATCCAGAAAAGCCACTTTGAACAAAGTACAATAAGCTTTCACTTATGTGGCTATCCTCCCAATAAAATATTAACCTGTGAATGGCGAAACTGAACAAATGTTCTCTAGTACTTACTGAACAAGACTAGTAGGATGAATGCTTTCAGGGGATCAATTATATAATTAGTTAACCAAACCTCTTGTAGACATTTTAATTTTTTCCCTCAGAGTTAAAACCTATACGTTATAATCTCATTAGTAATAGTAATTTGTTTTCCCCCACAAATATTGCAAAGCTGAACATTTTTTTCCTTTATTATCTAACTTAGAATTAGTGGTCCCAAAAATTTTACTGAAATTTGTTTTCTTTGTTTGCAACTGGTAATGGCTCTTAAATACAAGTCTTTATGTCTTTATGCAGATACACTCCCTAGATTTCATAGATTTTAATTTAAAAATCAGAAAAACTAGACAACTGAAAAACAGGACAAAGTTTAGGTGACATGTTATATATATGTGTGTGTGTATATATATATGTGTGTGTATACACACACACACACACACGTCTTATTAGAGTAAGCAACTATGTTGTTCAAGATCACTCAGAAGGAGATGCAGAGGTGGACCAGGACTTAGTTGTCAGATAGATACCTGTTGCTAGGGAATTCGTCTGCAAGCTGCCAGTGTTTGCAGCTTTGGAAAAAATGATTTGGCTGGGGGTGGGTTGAGGGAATGATGAACTCAGTGACAAACTACCCAAGCAAAGGCTGAGCAGTACAGTGTGGATGTAGAGAAAGCAATGGACTACAGAAACCAGGAAAAGCAAAGAAGGGCAGTAACAGCCAAAAGGGAAAGATCAGTGAACAATTCTGATTTACTAAATAGACCAATCCCAAAATCAACCAGCAATAATTTTCAGAATGCTTATGTGCTCAGCCATCTGATCACTATACACCTACATTTCAAAGACTAAAAGAACATCTCTTTACAAAACAGGATGATCTTACAGTCTCTATACTCCTGGAGCTCACTGTCTGGGGCTAGGAACTAACTAATTACAGTACTGTAGCACACATTCATTAAGATTATGTACAGAGCATTATTTGGGCGGAAGTCTGGACTACATTAAAACTACTTCAGATACTAGAATGTGGGTTCTAAAGAAAATTTAACAAACTCCTTTCTTTGGGGATGGGCAGATATAATCTGGCAGAATTATTTTTCTTGGAAAGAAAAAAGTCTAAAATTAGAGAACTCTCTTGTGTGATCCAAATGAGCCAAATCTGAGGAACAATCTAAATTCTCTCCCAGCCATTCTCCCACCATAGTGTAACAAGCATTATTTGGGATAATTTTCATATACTTAGGGTAAGAAGGTTTACTGAAAAACTAACAGATAAGTAAAAGCTAAAGAAGTGCTGAAATGGTTTCCTCTAGAGCTTTCGGAATAGTCAAAGAGAGTAAAAGGCAAATGAGGAAGGAGAGGGAGTGCAACTGGCATATGCCTTATCAACCTATTATCTGCATTTGGGACTTTTTTTGGGGGGGGAGGGGTGCATACTTGGTAGTGCTCAGTTTACTCCTGGCAGTGCTTGGGGGGAACGTATGCAATGCCAGGGGTTGAACCGATGTCAACTGCCTGTAAGAAAAGGGCATTTGGGGGCTGGAGCAATAGCACAGCGGGTAGGGCGTTTGCCTTGCATGTTGCTGACCCAGGTTCAATTCCCAGCATCTCATATGGTCCCCTGAGCACCGCCAGCAGTAATTCCTGAGTGCAGAGCCAGGAGTAACCCCTGTGCATCGCCGGGGAAGAAAAGGGCATGTAATTCCCATATTATTTTTCAGGTGACCTGTTTTGGTCTTCAAAACTTTTTTACACTGAGATTTAATTATAACTGGCTTATCTGAAATATCATCTTAAATCTATTAAGGTGAAAAACCTCAAATGGCAACTAGAGCCCAATATTATTTCTATTGTATTTTACATATTAAGAAATGTTAGCCCCACCCCCCATTTCCAGTCAATGTTCAACCCATTGTTCCTAAAATGACTGATCCCAAGGTCAGATGATGAAAGACCAAATAATCTAAAACTCTTTTTTCTTTACCTGAGTCTGGTATATCTCAGTCCAAAGTTTGGGGAACAGTGCAAGATGAAGTGGCAAACCTTCATAGGCAACTAGGACACCTAATATTTGAAAAGAAATCAGAATAGGTTATAGTTATACTACTGAGGTATTAAACTGCAGGTGTAAGTATACAAGTACTTCCAGTCATAATTGTATTCTTACTATATGCTTACTTTCTATGCATGTTTTAGAAATAGGTATTTAAAGGGGAAGAATTTATTTAATGTTTTAACCAGTGAAATAATTTAGAATGAACTACACTTTGTATGATTTATATTCCAAAGCTCTTTGAAGG